ACCCCCACCCCCACCCCCACGCCCACGCCCACGCCCGCGCCCACACCCACACCCACACCCACACCCACACCCATACCCACACCCACACCCACCACACTATTGACAGCACTACCAGCCTTGCAATGCCAAACGTGCTGAACAGTTGGCAAGTACGGACAGGCACAACAGCGCGTCTAAGCCGCACCATCAATGCAAGCACGAAGAACCCCGCGAAAAATTGTCACTAAGGCAGTCAAAACGTGGCTGCGTGCTAGTGCAGAATCTTGAATGCTCGAAGTGCCCGAGAGAGAGCCCAAGGAGCAACGAAGGCAAGACCTTGAGGTCGCAAACTTCAGAGCAACAAGAGTGTCAATGTCACAGTGTGTATGTGTATCTGTGTGTGTTTGTGTGTTTTGGATGGCGATCGGTGGGCCGTGAACCGAAGCAGATGTTACTAGTTCCTGCCGACGTGGGCCAACAAGTATTGAAGTGAGCTCGACAGCACCTCAGGTGGCCCGGCTGGGCTTATGCCTGAATGCCGTCCAGCTACTGCAGGTTGGGCTAGGAGCTTTGCGGCCGAGAATTCAGAAACGCCTGGCATGGAGGTCCAATGCCCTACTTTTGCACCGCTCGGCCAACAAGGCTTGGCTGGCTTCCTGAGACCCTTCCATGATGCTCCACGGCCTATACGGCCTTCAGGACATCAGAAGAAGATGCCAGAGGAGGCATGCTTTGTACCACAGCTACGAGACTTGAATATTTCAAGCAGCCCTCACATTGGCACGTACAGATCATTTCATGCCTGGGAAACGGCCGACAACACACCATTCTGTCAAGACGCTTGCAGCACACATGTGCTGCAGGTCTTGCGAGAAAAGAGGCAGCGCCTCTACAAGACGCAGCCGTGTGCGAATTATGCAGCGGAGCCTCTGCGGCAAACTGCTCACACTGGCTGTCCTAGCTTGCGCTGATGGTGTTGCCTGCACAAGCATGCTGCAGGGACATTGCAGTTTCGGCCACAAGTGCCACTTCGCACATGGAGAACATGAGCTGCGTCTTCCCGGCAAAATTGAAGGCCATCAGAATTGCTGAGACAAGCCTTTTCCGAACCCACATGGTTGACCCTGCGTGTAATGGAGGCAGCCCTTCCACGTCGATTTCCAGCTGGAATGTGGAAAGAAACGACGGATCCTGGGAAGAGAGGTGCATTTCAGCATAGACTTGAGGCGATGCGTGATCTGCGATATTCTGCGATCCATTCCCGCTCGAGGAGCCAATGGCCGGAGTCCAGAAAGTGGGGAGACGCTGTCGCCAGCGGCTGGAGGAGACATCGGAGTTTCAAGTGTTTGCCAGCACTTTTCTCTGTCGTGTTTGCACGTTTGTCAGCAGGTGGGGTGAGCAGGAGTGGCAGCAGGCATGCCGCTGCGCTTGCTTTTGCGGATATTTCATCGCAGTCTCCGGCAGTTTTGGGGCTCTTTTTGGAGCTTAGGACTGGCAAGATGGCGCAGATTGGTCTTGGTCCGCTCGCTTCTGAGCGCCCGCAGAGAGGGCACCGCGGTGATGCGCGGTGAGACGTGGAGATGTGTGGAGTGTGTTGAGGCTGGCTGGGACGGCTGGGACGGCAGCTCGGAGGCCGCCGGAGACGCGAGAGTGCCCCTTCCGTCTCTCCGCCTTCGTGTTCCATCCGCCTTCGCGCGCCTCTTGCAGGCGAGAGGCTGGAAGCGGGAAGGCGCTCGGCGGCGCTTCGTCCTTGCTGCGAAGTGGGCACGTAGGCTCTTGTGAGAGAGGCTGGCAGTCGGACTGGCAAGATGGTCGAGATGGCCAGTGGGAGAGCGACGCCGGAGCGGGAAGCGATGCTGGCACTGGTAAAAATGTGGGGCAGGTTTCTTGGCGAGAACATGCGAGAACCAACGGGTTTGGCATGAACAATGTGCAAGGAACACTAGACCGTGACTGAAAGTCAGGTCGATTGTGGTAAGCCAGATGCTCCGTGGGCTGCTCAGTCGTCGCCACGACTCACTGTCTCAGAATGGCATTGTCGGAGGCGTATTCAACAGACCGACGGAAGCGAGGCACAGAACATGCAGTCTACGTCTATGCCACTCTGGACAAGCGATGGGCTTGCTTCAGGAATCACGAAGCGATGTGCTCCATCAAGTCGAAAGACCAACTGGACACTTGCGAGGAGCCGCACTGCCGCACTGCCGTGACTTGCGTTTAGTGGTATCTGAGAGTGCAGGCAGCCGTGAACACCAGCGCGACGACCGGAACCAAGAATTTGGCCGAGGTGCGCCACTTGCGTTTCCCACACCCTTGGTCTGTCTTGAATGCTGGAGGCGCTCGAAGTTTGACCAGGGAGAGGCAAGGGCCTGTAAAGGGCTTGTATACTTCATGCATCTTGTGCTGGTGTGGAGTCCGTTCAAGAAACGGATGGCAGGGATAGACGCCGGCGTGGCAGGCCGCGTTAGTCAGAGCATGTCAGAGCCGAGCTCTCGAGCTTGAGCCAGACTTCGGGCAGGTCTCCCTCTCCAAGACGTCCTCAGCAGGCGATCGGCCAGAGGGTGGGGCTTGTCCTCGCTCAAAGCTCTGCCACAGGCGCGATGGCTCCGATCCCGGAGCCGCAGCCGCGTCCGTGGCCGAAGCCGCGGCCGAAGCCGCGGCCGGAGCCGCCGGCAGCGCCGGAGCCGAGAGCGGAGGCCCCGCTAGAGCCGGCAAAAAAAAAGGGTGAAAGCCCGCCATTTTGAAGCACCAGGACCATACCATGGCCAGTGCTTTCTCTTTCAACACAAGCTTTGCCTGTCACCTGCAACTCTCCAGCTTGGGGTTTGTTCGAGTTATCGTCATCGATACAAGATTCAGAATCCTGTAATCGTGTGCCCATTTTTGTTGCGGGAGGGTTGCTATCGGAGATGAGCTTTTAGATTCACTCGTAAGCCAAGGCAGCCTCGCATTCTCGTCAGCTCCAGAATCACATGTGAACAAAGGCTTAAAGTGGAGCTCAGCACGCCAAAGCAATGGGGTCAAGCAGCTCTGCTGCCAAGCAAGAAGGGCAGGCACCAAAGTGCCTGTCTGCACAGAGGGTACTTAATATGACTTAATGAGTTAATCTTGGTTGTCCCTTGCTGTTCAGTTTCATGCTCGCGTGATCGCAGTATGCTGGCAGCGCGCATCATGTGCATCTGAGGCCTGCTCAGCTATCACTCCCCATCCAGAACAGGCGGACACGCGCCGTTACACTAAGTGTAGAGCCTCGAGAAGCTGTGGTCGAAGTGGGCACCGGCGCTAGCGGCGCTGGTGTGTGCTTGCCTATCAAAAACCGCCGCACTCGTGGGGTAATCTTGGAGACGGCGGAGTTCAATCCAGATAGACTGGCTCCACCAAGTTTGAATGTTGGTAGGGGCCAAGATGCTTCTGGAGGAGACATGACGCGACGGGCCGTTCACAATCCTGTTGGGCATTCTTTTGCAACGGACTCGCCCACTGCGCTAGTTCCTAGACTGCCAAGTTCACCCGCAGCGACTTCATCTGCAAGAACGTCTTCCGTTCCAGCTTCGCCGTCGGTAATGTCGCGCAACTCGAGAGTACACTTTGCCGCATCACCGGCTTCTGTGGTAGAAATCACTCCATACAGTTGGACCTCGCGTTCCTCGGCTTGCTCCCCGACGTCGCCGACCTTCGATGAGTCACCAGCGCGACCAGCGACAGCCGCGACAGCGCTCAGCATCCCGCAGACGGCTCCAGGTGCATCGAAGAGTAAACGCTTTCAGCACTGTCTCTCCTAACTTGAAGCTTCCTCAGAATTCTTAGGACCGCCTTGGTCATGGCAGTCCGACGTTCGACTCACCGTGCAATATCGCTAGCCGCTAGCAGTAGGAAGGGAGCTTCGTCCAGAGGCGGGCAATGCCAAGTGGGGTCTCGATGGGTGCAAAAGTGCAGCAGGTATTGAGGATGCGGAGTGGGGTGGCAAGGAGCCCGTACCGTGATGCTGTCGGAAAGCATGAGACAACAGATCCCCACACCTGGGGCCGGGGGCCGGACACAGGCGTCTCGACCTACGGAGCTGCAGCTCGAGTCACTAGAGTCTGTCTCGAGGTAAGCAGAGAGCATGCTAGAGCCCTGGCGATGCCGGTCAGGCTGCGAAACAGCCCTATCTCCGAATCGACTCTGCCTCCTCCAAACCGAGCACTCCAACTTACTCATGACTGCCGAAGTGTGCCAGGCCTCTATGCCAGCGGAAGCTTGCAGCACACTGTGGTCATTCCTGCGGTGCAGTACGTGCAGCACTACGCTTGGACAGCACCGTCCGCAGCGGCTCCTGCAATTCCAGTTGGGTCTACACCATCGCTGCCTCTGGCTGGGGCTCCTGCGGCAAACGTGGCACACGCAACTGTTGCAGTGTCCTTGCCGAAGTCGATTGCGCCGACAGCAGCAGCTTCCAAGCGGAAGCAGACAACATTTTAATCGGATGCTGTTTGTGGTTTGCGTGCACTTTCTATCTGTCAATATTCATGTTGAGCACCTATCCTGCCGAGGCCACGTGGCGCCAGTGAGGACTGGGCGAACTCGCAACCGAGTCTGCTCGCATCAACAGATACATCTGGCTGCTCGCAGATGCGTTGCTTTCGATCTCTGATGCCACTCCCAGGAAACTCACACCGGAGTGTGCATAGCCATTCCAGTGTGTCCAAGAAATGTTTCACCCTTACTAACAGTATTTCAGTGATCTGCGATGTGGATTCACATTTTGCTTCTTTGGGCCCGAAGGGATCCCCGAGGGATCTCAGCGTGTCACCTCGAGGCAAGCCGCTGCACCAGCGTCCAGAATCTCGCCAAAAAGCGGGCAGGTCACCCCAGTACCCCGCTTCCGCCCGAGCCTCGTGGACATTTTCCCTGGCCCTGGGCTTCAAGTTTTTCTTTTCTTGGTGGACTGATCGTGAGTTGTGGGGGTACTATGCAATAATATACAAGGATAACCGCATTTCGAACTGTTGGAAAGTCCTGGCGAATACTACAATTATAAGATGACTTACCCCGGCATTGCAAATCTGAGAAGGCTTGCAACCGGTCCGGACAAGAGGAAGCCTGCAGCGATCGTTGCTCAACAGCACACAAGTAGTGTGTGCGCAAGAAAATCCCAACATGGAGTTCTATGGACAGGGTGCTGCCTATGTTGGCCAAGGGCGCATGCAAGCAATGCCACAGCAGGCCTGATTCAGAGCGCAGCTTAGTGGGGCCAGAGTGGACTAGTATGTCTCAGGTGCAAGCGCAGCTCGCTGCCCAGCAACAACCAGCAAACGACGAAGACGTCGCCAGACTCGTGCAGGACATCAAATGACACACAACAAGTGTTTGGAGTTGCAATTTGGAGAGAAGATGATGACATGGGGTGTGGGTGTGGACTAACCTGAAAGCATTGGTGTGCACAAACTTCCGACTGCTCGAAGTCCAACCCCAAACGTAGACACGAAAGGCGGCTTCAACCCCCGACATCCCAAACCTGAAGCCTTAGTTAAACTCATCCCCTAGCCGAATTTCACATCGTTATCGCTTTGGTCTATCCAAGTGCGTTTCGTACAGTGTTTACTCGCTTGCTTGACATGTCGGTGGCCCACGTGTTTAACTGCAAAGACCACTCATGTCGAAAATGTTAGTTTGGGACCACGGCTGAAGCGTGGAGCTGAAGTACCGCCATCGTAACATGACCCTGCCACAGATCTCACGCTCTCGTAATTTAAGACGAACCACCAGCTTGTGATGCAGTCGCAACTTTCCGGTTCAGAGGTCATGTCGAAATGTTACTGGTGTGGTGTGGATCCCTGCATTGAGCCGAGAGAGGTTTCAGGATACCTGAGTTGTGGTGTTTGCAGAGAGATCGATCGGCTTCGAGGGATCTGCACGCTCATACCAGCCGAACATCACCAGAGTGTTGTGAGTGAGCTCAGGGTTTTGAGTGGTAGGCTTAGGGAATGGCAGACAAATCGATTCGGGGGTCCTCCCGATAACTACGTTGAGCCACGTGTTGGTCCCGAACCGACCTTTGCCCAGAGCTTAAAGCCAGCTGAGCCTAAAGGGCCTCCACCTAACCATCTTAGAGTAGACTCCCAAAGCCATATCGAAGCCGGCGCCGAAGCATCTTCGTCCAAAAAGAAGCGAAAGAAGAAGAACAAGGGGCACAGCAGAGTTGATTGGCAAAAAGCTCGCGGAGCAGTGGTTCGCTCGAGACTCCGACCTTTGGACCAGTCGGGCAGTGAGCTCACGGACACATCGAGCCTTGAGTGACTCTCGACGGCAGTGTTTCATTATGGGTGGTAGGGTTCTCAAAAGACCTGGTATCTTGAAGAATCAAGGCACGAGTGGTAGGCGCATTCGCCCGAGTGGTAAACGCGTCCGCCTGTTCGGTAAGGGCCGTGAATTTGATTATCAGGGACGTCTTAGTAAAGGGGAGTCTCTATCTATTTCAAGTTTGCCTTTGAGCTTTTGGTGCCCTGGATCTGATTATTGTATTCTGGGTGATTATTGGGGCAAAGCAACTCTGGCTTGTGGGCAGCTGGAGCGGATCACTATTGACCAGTCTGGTACTTTTCTGCAGTTGTTTGTGAAGGGCTCAGATAATCAAGAGTTGGTCAAATGGTGTGGCACATCAATCAGAGGAGGGGAGCCCGGAGAGCTACTCGTTCACCTTTGCCCCGTAGGCTGCCGAAAGGCCAACATGAGTCAGGACCTTCTTCACGGAAACATGGTGGTCAGCTTAGATCCCGAAGCCCTCTGGACCCGCAACGTCGCCGAGCTAAGAGCTTCTTCCCCAGCAATGAGAGGAGGGTTACACGAGGAGCTCGAGCGCCTAGCGGAGGAGAGAGCAAACGCCCCGAAGATAGAGAGAGGAGCCCCATTGACCGCCACCGGCGATGCCAAGAGGGATCGAAAGACAGGGGACAAATCGTTTCGCGAGACCCCCCTAGATCCACGA